GGTTCAAGAAAAAAATTTGTCCACTGCGACAATTGGAACGTTGTGGACCTTTTCAGCAATCATGCTCCAAATCAAATCGTTCAGCCGTTGTTTTGTCATTGTGTCAAGCAAATGGTTAAGGCAGGAGTCGATGTAAAGGTAATGCACATTGCAGGAGACTCAAACTCATCTGTGGACGCTCTTTCTTGCCAGCAAAAAATTCTAACCCCTGACAAGATTGATATTTTATGTCATGCTATTAACGCGGAGTCGATCTTGTATTTAAACATTGACCCGTCTCTTTCTTCTGGATTTCAGGAAGTGGATTTAGGATCTTTTGACCCTTCTTCGCGATTATGGGTAAATCCAAACCTACTTCAATCTCAACAAGATCAAGGAAGCTGATGTTGAATATTACTTTAGATGAATTAAGACTTATTTCCAGTCAAGATCAACATTTGACTATCGCAAAAATTTCTTTAGAAAAATATAAATCAGGTTTTTGCTCTTTTGCAAAGTTTTGTATTCATTTTAATATTCCTTTAATTCCAAATAAACGCAACTTATGTGATTTTGTTTCATTTATGAGCCGAATGATTTCTCCCAGATCAGTTAGAGCTTATTTAATCGGGATTTATCACATCTTTAGGCTGGATTTTCCTTCAATCACTTGTGGATCAAAGCATCAAGATGTCAAACATACTTTAAAGTTCTGTATGAAAAATTTCTCAAAACCAGTCGTTAGCAAGAATTCATTATCGGGTTCTCACTTGGAAATGGTAACCTCAAATTGCTCTTCATCTTTCGATGATAAATTGTTTTTGGCCATGTTAGGCATAGGTTTTGGGGGTCTTCACCAATTAGGGGAGTTTACAGTGCCGGATTCTTCAAAATTCAGAGATTCAAGAAAAATTATATTACGATCTTCTTTAAAGTTTTCAAAATGCAAGAAATTTATTCAATTTAATTTACCTTATTCAAAAGGCGACACTTGATTTTTAGGAGCTCCTGTGATTATTCAAGGGTTTTTTAATTCTCCTGCTTGTCCAATAAAACTGCTCAAGTCATATTTATGTGTTAGGGACGACTCAATCATTTCTTCTCCCAAACTTTTTGTTACTTCAGACGGTTCTTCTCCTTCACAATCATGGTTTCTTTCAAAATTCCATGTTTACTTTGACATTTCATTCTCAGGTCATTCTCTTTGTTCAGGAGGCGCAACTGCTTTATCTCAGGCCGGTGCCAACATGGATTTTATCAAAAGTGCCGGTCGTTGGTCATCTGAAGCATTCTTAATGTATGCTTGGGGTCACATGGCTTTGCATTTACCCAAGAATCAAAATCATATCATTGGCCATTCTTCTCACATTGGTTCGAGAGTTCAATTTTCTTAAAAAGTAAGTTTCAGGTGTTCTTTTTTGTAAGAGCTGGTTTTTTAAGCTCTCATGCTTGTTTTGTTTTGTTTTGTGTTTCTTCTTTTTATGTTTAAAGAAGAAAGATTTGATCACACTCTTTCATGTCTGTGGTTGTGAAAAGAAGCTTTTATGCTTAAGTTTTTATACTCCTTATTTCAGTGTAAAGAAATATACAGGGGTCTCTGTGCCTTATTTATGTGTTTTTCTGGTTGGGGATTTTTGAGCATCGTACATTTTTTGGTGTCCAACGCTGACGTTTAATTGATTTTAATTTTTGAATTTTTTCTTTTGTCCTTCTCCTACTTCACCACTCTTCTTTACGGCTTTTTATAGGTGGGTTGGAGAGGGACATACATGTTTATCAAGTAATTTATCACCCTTGGCTTTTAGCCTTGGGATTCGCCCAAACCTTTTAACCGCTATGGTATTTTTATACCTGGTATTTTGTAAGTCAAATGTACTCACATTTCTAGTAGTTGGTAACTTGCTTATTAACAGATGGGAATGTGGATATCTCGGTTTGTAATTTACATATGTACATGTGCTAACGGGTTGGATACGTTTTCCCTTTATGTGGTTTACAGATATGATGTCATATCTTGTTTACCTTTCCACTCACCGTTTTCATTCCCATTGTCATTTCATTATCAACTTTCTCTATCTTCTTTTACTCTATTATCATCTATTCAGATGGTTTTTCAAAGCCCACCCGCGCTTCTTCCCTTATTATCAGATGACTATTATTTTCCTCATGTTTTCACTTTATTCTATATTTTTTTAAAAAAAAAGAAAGTTGTGTAGGCAGTGTTCAGAGTTCTATTTTGATTGTTCTATGTTAGTTTGTTCTAAGATATGTGTGTTGCTAGTTCGTTTGATATTTTTTAACTAGTTTTTATATTTTTATTCTCTTTTGCATTTATATTTTGTTATTGTTTTTTTTGTTTATCGTGTTCGTGATTTTTTCCGCTACCACCCTGTAGGGACATACATGTTTATTAAGCAATTTATCACCCTTGGCTTTTAGCCTTGGGATTTGCCCAAACCTTTTAACTGCTATGGTATTTTTATACCTGGTATTTTGTATGTAAGTCAAATGTATTCACATTTCCTAATCATCAGGTCTCGATCACTGCAAACATTAATCAACCTCCCCAAGTGGGCAGGAAAAAATGATTGGGAGTATCATTTGTCATAAAATGATCTATCAATCCACACCTGATCCATACCACCCACACTACATATGTGTAGCAGGCTCAGTGAATTGGTGGTTATCATGTACATACAGTTCTGCTCAGTTATCTGCTCAGCAGGATGAGTTATTCATATGTAATACATGCTGTAACTTTTTTCAGATTGACAAAAGCATTCAAAAGATAGACTACATACACTGACTCAACGTCTTGGTGTAATCTCATCAAGTCAACTGCATGTAATACCCTTTCTGTTACTAAGAAATAGCTTCAAAAATATTGCCTGAGCAGCTACAGAATTATATGTAGTGAATTCTTGGGACAATTTTCTCCAAGTCAAAAAAGTTACATGTGGTATAACATGTGATTTATATATTCTGATGGGCAAAAAACTGAGCAGACCTGTATGTACATGATAGAAAACTATTTACTTAGCGTACTGCACATATGTAGTGTGGGTGTTGAGGCTCAGGTGAGCGGTATTGGATCTTTTTATGACAAACTGTACTATTAATCATTTTCCTCTTCCAATGTGGGGAAGTTGAATGATGTTCACAGTGGATATCGAACCGATCTCAACTTGAGATCAATCCGATATCAAAAATTTGGAGATTGGTTCGATATCAGGCCTGTCAAAGAGTTGACCCATGGTTCACGCTCACACCCGGTGCCCTGATGCCATGTGGTGCCACGGCTTCGGGCAGGGCGGGGCCTAGGGCTCACGCCATGCCCTGGCCCAAGCCCTGCCGCTGTTCACCAGGGCTTTGCTAGGGCAGGGCGCATCGGGCGTAAGGCCATGGCCCCAGCCATGCCCTAAGCCCCGAAAAACACGCCGGGTGTGAGCGTGACCCGTGGTGTAGCGTTAAAGTTATGCTAAATCACCTAGTTATCGCACCCATATAGTGGGTGCCCTTAATATGTTTTTCTACGCGCCACGCTATCGTTATCCTGGCTGGTAGCGCTCCGTAGCGCTGCGAGCCAGACTTGCTGGGAGGAAAAACACCGCTCTCAGTTTCGCCAGCTTATCTGGTCCCAAACACCCCCCATAGAAGTGCTCCTGAGCCATTCATAATCCAACTTTGGTTCAGATTCCCCAGGTTCGGTGTGATTTCTCAAAAGGCGCGCCGACCTCACGTTTTGTATCTTATCTTGCGCCCACAACCTGATGTGAGGGGCGAGGGGTTGGCGGTGTTACAGTTGAGGGTCAAAGTTAAACTTGATTTCCTCGCTTGGTTTGCTCTGCATCGAGCTTTCGATGCGTTGGTCGCCATCGACTCAAAGTCTGTCTCCAACACCAGATTCGACTGGGTCGCTTTGGGGCTCGACCTGGCCATCTATCCAAGAAACTGTTGTGACATAGCCCAAGAGCTATGTTTCGATGAATGCTGCTTTCAACTCTATCTCAACGAAACTTAATGTTCCCCAAATCTTTTCCTCGCCCCCTTTTCAACATTTCTCTGCTTAGAACCACCTTGCTTTCGTTTTGGCGCTGACGGACTGTGGTTCTAATATCTTACCTGTTTGTTAACAAGTACGCTGTTGTCCATACTTTGATCTGCTCGGATATCGCCATATCCCTAGTCTACCTTGGCTGGCCAGGTTGGAGAGTCTTACCACTGCAAATCCAGAGGGTCTTTTCGTCCACATGCCGAAATTTACCCCGATACTAATTTTTGTTATCTCCGCTATCCTGACGACTGGCACAATTGGCACCGATTCACATCATGTCACAAGGGGGAAAGACTCATTTCTTGTACAAGATGAAGAATCGCTGCAAAAAAATGTGATGGCTTCTGGCAGCGCTGAAATATCGATTTCAGGCCGAGCAACGTCAATAAAAGCAGAGACGGTCACCAACTCCAATCGCAAGAGGGACATTTCTATCAGGATGGGTCTTGCAGCCAACCCCGACGTTATGACTGGAGACTTTACACCAGAAAAAAGATCACTTTCCGCGCATCAAAAGAGGGACATCTCTATCAGGATGGGTCTTGCAGCCAACCCTGATGTCATGACTGGAGACTTCCCACCAGAAAGAAGATCGCTTTCTTCGAAACAAAAGAGGGAGATCTCTATCAGGATGGGTCTTACGAGCAACCCCGACGTCATCACTGAATCAGAGGACTTCACACCAGGAAATTTAGAAAACAAATCAAACTGCAATGAGACCGTTCCATCTATCAGTCCACTCTCAAATAATGAAATAAAGTCAGCTGAAACCATTGAGTTCTTACCTCACGAAGCCGTCAGACAACCCGAAGATCCGATCAATCTGAACTCTTTCAGCAAACAGAAACCTTTCACCATCCCACTCTATCGACCAAAGAAACCTCACTGTGATATGCACCTTCATCCAGAAATCCAATTTCAACAGCATCTTAATCACGCTTTACAGAGGCATGCCCGTCTTTTAAAAATGCCCATTGATAAAACAGTACTAATCGAAAACTTACGCAAGAGGGCGAAAATATATGGACCTCCTTCTGAAGAGTCAAATCCCCAACGAAGATCGAGCCTGGTTTCGAGACAAGATAGACTTGCAGGGTATCCTGAAAGTGCTTTCTTCGCACAAAAAAACTCAAAAATCACTCCACCCGGAGAAACAACCGCTGCAAACTCTGTTGGATTTAGTATTGAAGCTAATGATGTTGGATACTTTGCTGAGATTGGGATTGGAACTCCACCCACAAAATTCAAACTAATCCTTGATTCAGGCTCTTCCGATACATGGGTTCCAGTAAGTGATGATCATCCTCTTTGCTCGATTCTTCAACTTTGTGAGAAGGTTCTGATGTGATTTTTTGATTGAACCACATAGCTTCCAGAATGCGTCAATATTGATGACTCGAGAAAAGGCTGCAATCATGCGACTTTGAACCGTGAATCGAGCACACTTCGACTTACCAGCGATAATTTCACAATCACTTATGGTACTTCAATTTTATCGCTTTTCAGTTTTCTTGTTCAATAGCTGAGGTCTATCCATGTTTCAGGAACAGGAAAAGTCAAAGGTGTGATTGTAGAAGAGACCCTGATTATAGGAGGCTTGATCCTCACAAATCACGCCTTTGGAGGAGCTAAATCAGAAAGCAAGGAATTCGCCGGAAAAAACGTGTATGTGATCATCAATATCAAATCCGATTTGAATATTGACTGAGTTGCATGTCCTTATCGAATTATTTCCAACACAATAGTCCATTTGATGGATTGATGGGAACCGGAAGAAGTTTACTCGCTAATCAAAAAGTCCTTACACCCATTGAGGCCATGTCAAATTCTGGAATACTTCCAGGGGCTTTTATCGGATACGCATTGGGTAGAGTTTCAGATGGGGAGAATATTGGTTTGTGTTTGTTTTTCATTATTGGAGGAATCAACTATATCTAACCTTTATATCATCTAAATAGGACAAGCTACTTTTGGGGGGGTGGATAACACCAAGTTCACCGGAGACCTAACTCTATTCCCAAACATCAATACAAAAGGTTTTTGGGAAGGGGTGATGTCAGAAGTAAAGGTAGACGGTGTAACAATCTTGACACGTAGAACAGGAATTTTAGATACAGGAACAACTTTGATAGTTGCACCACCAGCTGATGCAGAAGCAGTTCACGCAAAGATACCTGGATCAAAAAGTGATGGAAAAGGTCGGTATACCATCCCATGTACTACTAAGTCTATCGTTTCGTTGTCCTTTGGAGGTGTATCATGGGATATCAAACCCGTGGATTTGACCTTTCAACCTGTTAGTCGGAATTTAGCAGGAAGATGCATCAGCGGGATTAGTTCTGGTAAGATTGGTGGACCTAGACAATGGCTCGTTGGTGATACATTTTTGAAAGTAAGTTGAGGCAATTCTCTCTTGATGAGAAATGAGTGACTGATGCCACTTGTGTCTCTTTTATTTAGGGTGTATATTTTGCAACAGATGCTACAAATAACCAAATGGGCTTAGCAGTCATTAATAAAGGTTCATCATCACCTTAATCAAACAATTTAGACGGAATATACAAATTCAATAAGACGAGTTGAAACCACACATTGAATTAGCGGAACTCCTCTGATGGAACGGAATTCATTTTGATTGTAAATAAGTTCCCTGTGATATTGAATTTTGACGCACTATTTTTTGCAAGTGAAGCATGTACTTCATGCATAGAAAATCTTGAAAGTGATTTTTTTCTTGAAAATGAAGTTTATTAATAAGAATTGTGAAAACAAACCTATTTTGTTCTCAATCTTCATCCTTCATCAGGCCACTTTCCTTTTCTCCAAAAAAAACTCTAATCAGAAACTTGATTGACTCCTTCCAATGCTCTTCAAATACATCTGGACATCCCTGTGATCTTGGGCCATCAAAATGACATTGAGATCTTCCATCAAGCTTGGGATTGCGGAATGACCTACTGTGAAATGGAATGATGTAAATGAAGATAAATATTGACTCATGTTGATAGTCAGAGTAACACTATTCACATTCACTGGCACTCATTGAGTTATCTGATCACAAGGAGCATCAGATCCCTCTTGACATTGTGGGGGGCTGAAGGCCTTGCAATCACAGCAAAAATATGCCCAAACTGCTTTGCCTTTGTAATGTGTAGCCCAAGTCAGAGATTAGCCGAAGATTTCATGAACTCACCCAGTTATGTTTGATCCCTCAGTTTTAGCTGATCCTCAATATCCAGGACAGTTGCTCATACAACAGCAGAAACCCTTGTTCTAGGTACCAGCCAGATGCAAGCACATTGTAATCTGGCACTGTTTTGGTAATTGTGTCTTGGTATCACAAAAGTTACACAGGTCAAAGTTTGCGTAAGACAGATGCACCACTTTTGTTTTTCAATTTGCATTGTTGTGGACACCTTTTCACCTCCCAACAACTGGCTCACAAGGATAGTCCCAAAAATGAAGCTCATCATCTATCTGTACCTTCTTTGACACTATATTGGCTTCTGACAAACGTCCAAGGAGTCCTTGCATGCCCCCCCAAGGAAACGGGCACCCAAGGAATACCTCCAAGGCAAATTTTGGCCATTGCCGCTGCCTTGGATTGGATCCTTGGTGGGAGCTTCCCTTGGAGTCAAAATCTGAGAACTCCCTGGGTTTTTGCATCCAAGCCAAATATGCTGGCTGTGGGGGGGTTGAGCAGTTGAAAAGAGGCCAGACAAGACATGGGAACTTGCTCAAGCAACCAAATTTATTGCCAATGGCCAAGACAAGGCATTAGGTAAATGATAGATGCCAATAGAAAGTATGTAGGGGTCTTCAAAGCTATATTCCATATATATGTATGTACATGCAGCTGTTCCAAGAATGGTCGATTGGAAATTTGTGAAAAGCTCATCAGTGCAGCAGATAAAACAAATGTACAGTCAAACCTGTGCAGCAATACCTGAAGCGTCCCGCCCGAAAAAGCGGAAGCAGGGCGGTGGCGGGGCTGGACGCCCCGCTTGCGCTACCCGGAATCCGGTGTAGGGGGTCTTTGCGCTCTGCCCGCGCTTCCCTCCATTTTTTTTGGATGTAGGGGAGCGCGGATTTAGTGGGGCGGCAGTCAATCTCGCCACGCTGCAGACTGTCACATCTTGCATGCAGCGGGTCAGTACCCTCTACCTCCGTCCACCAGGTCATTCCTTTCAGATATCGCTCGATATCTCATATCTGGAAGGAATACCTTTCCACAAACCACGCCATCAATCCTTACCACATCTCAACATACATCTCAAGATAGGGTAAGTTCTGTCTTCAGTTCTCTCTACGTCAAAGGAACCGTTAACTCCTTTCAGATATTGTTCGATATCTCGTATCAGAAAGGAAGCTCTTTCCTTGAGTCACGCCATCAATCTTCCCTCCACCTCAAAAACTCGTTAGTTTTTCTCAATCTTTCTCTTTCGTCTCTTTGTTGCTGCTTGAGCTGACACTTCTGTTATCTCACCTCATTCTCATAGCTTACATTGATAAAAGATTTCAGCGTCAGAACGTTTGCTGTTCATGTGGGGGTTCACCCTCTCGGGTTTTGGGGTCATGGCCGACTCCATGACCCTGGTAGAACTTCTTGTTCACAATCTTATATATTTGGTAAGTCATCACCAGTCCCCTTTACCTTTTCAGCCAATTTTCCCTCTTTTGAAAATTCTGCTAAGACGTTCAATCGATATACTAATCATCATATAATCCTTACAATCCCTTGCCTCTTATCCCAAAATCATCCATCTGATCCGTTTTACTACAGTTCGACTTCAAGATGATACCTCCAAGTTCTTACCTTGCTCCGTCCTCAGCTGGTCCTACTCTGCGTCCTAGAACTCCGACTCAACCCAAGCCTGGTTTCATTGCCCAATCTCCTGATTTACGCATAGCCTCCGTTCGGCCATCTCCTAATCAAGATCCTGTCGAGTCTGACCATGATCAAAGCGTTTACAAGGTTACTAGTGGTGAATCGGATACCTCCGATGGCATCAGCAATCACGAAGTGATTGATGAATCCGACCATAGCAGCTTGCATGTTCCTTCCAAGGATAAGAAGAAAGGGTGTAAGTCGAAAGCGAAGGTCCATGTCGCCAAACGTCGAGGAAGTCCCCGTGGTTCTGGAGCTTCAGTTGGCTTAACTCGACGCCCTCCCAAAAAATTGAGGAAGGGTCGAGTTGAGGTAAGTTTGATGTTTCAATCCTCAGATCGTGAAGGGTTTGCTGACCAGAAACCTCTGATCACTCTAGGCAACTGTTCCTGAAGTCATCGATGTTGACCAGGAATCAGAAATCAAGATAGTCGAGACTCCGGGTGTGCGGCGTGCCCAATTGGAACGTGTCTCCAAACTATTGGAGTATTACTTTCCACCGACTCACGTTAAAGGCAAGGTAAGTGCTTTGGTTCACTATCTCCTAATGTTTTGTTTCATCTTTTGATTTTCTTCCTTTTCTCCATTTCACAACTATCTCTCCTTTCAACTTGTAACTCAAAGTCCGGTAACGACCCTCAAAGTTACAAGTGTCGATGGTGTAAAGGCAGCTTTGTCCGTGGAGCCCGTAGCCACTATAACCTGTATGCTCACCGTGATGGAGCTAAAGGTTGGGCTGCCTGTCCTCCTCGATCTCGTGCCATTCAAGCTGGCGTCAAGTTACCTAACACTTGGGATCAGGATCAATCCGAAAACGCCCAAGCCTTGAACGAATTGAATGGGAAACCTACCCTTGATGCTTTCCTCTCTCAAGCAACCTTCAGCGTCGAGCTTTGTAACACCGTCTTAGTCATCTGGATCTTGTGGCATGCGTTGCCCTTCAATCGGTTCTATTATGCGCCTCTACGTGCGGCGTTCAAGCTCGCCAATAGGCGAGCGGACTTGAGGACCCCGACTTGGGCCGCTGGGATTGCCAAGGAGCTTTACTTTAACTTGAGTTCATCTGTGATAGAACTGGTCTTGGTAAGTTTTTCTGGTCATATTCACTTATGACTTAAACGTTATTGAGCACTGACCTCTATGACATATTGTAGCATAATCCCGGGAAGGTCTCCCTTGTCCACAACATTTGGACTACCAAGGGTAATTGGTACACATTTATAGGCGTCTCGGCGAATTTCATCGACGAAAATTGGAAATATCGTTCGGTCCACCTTACTCTCAAGCTAGTAGCCTGGAACAAGATGGGTTTTTTGCTGGCTCGGCCAGTTGGACGATTTTTGATTAGTAATAACCTTCACACAAAGATAAGTTGTTCTCATTTTCTTGTTGTACAAGCAGACGCAGAAAGTTCACGTCGCCCCCGGGGCCAGGAACATCACTACAGCATATGTAATACACGCAGGGTGGGGCCCCGGGGCTGACGTGAACTTTCTGCGTCTGCTTGTACTTTTAAAAAAAACTAATTGGAACTTTATCTTCTTACATGCTAGCTCAAACAACAGACTCAGGGTCCAACAACAACCCGATGGCCCAAGAGATGGAAGAAATGTTTGCTGAGTCCAAAGATAAAGTCCAATGGGATTCGAGCAAGAATCACGTACGATGTTATGCCCATAAGCTTGGACTTGTTGTCAAGCATGGCTTGAACTTGATTGGACTGGCTGCTGAACATATCAAACCCACGACTCCACCTAACACTACCATTCCGATTCCATCGATTGTTCTGAATGATGACATGACTGAAGTTGTATGTGAGACTGATGATTCAGATGACGAGATATATGCTCAGCCTTCATCAAACCCTTGTGATGACTCCATCTCGGATGTAGAAGATGGTCATGATTATGATTATGTTCTGGCTAGAACTTGTGTAGTTGTACAAGGAGCTCTCAAGGTCAGCCAATTCAACTGCTCACCTTGTCATCGGTTCTGTTCAAGTGTGTTGACCCAATCTTCAACATAACGACCAGCTCAAGGATATCAACGCGCTGTTAACTCGAAGCAATGCACGCCGTGGTGAATTCGCAGCTCGAGCTGCTCAGATGGGCTATGATGGTCCTGCCCCCATTGCGGGATGGGGGGTCCGCTGGAACATTGACTTAGCAATGTTTTCAAATCTGGTGGCTGCTCGTGATGTAAGTCTTTTCTTTCTTTTCAATCCTTCACTCTTATATTTCTTATGAAATTCATGGGTACGATTTCACTTTGCAGGTTATTGATTCGATCCTCATCGCCGATCAAAAGACGAGGTACTATCAAGGTGTGATGATGGCTATGGAGGAGTGGGATGCGGTTGAAGAACTATGCAATGTTTTGAAAGTAAGGTTTCTTTATTCTCTTTAACTCATGTTCCGTAAAGTGGTAACTAACACAATCTCCTCATCTACATGCTTAGGTCTTCCACTTCTCTACCAAGAGGATGGAGGGTGACTTTGCATCAGGGTCAGTCCTCCTGGCTGAGTACCTGCGTGTCACTGAGGTCCTCCAGCAATTACGTGATGTGTCAAACTTTCCGTCCTTGATCAACATGATCGACGCCATGCTGCTCAAGCTTTCCGTATACCAAGATGAAGCCGCATCCTTGGAA